GTAAACTGGCAAGTTCCTTGCAATCTGTGAGGTCAACCAAGGGTTGCCTCGCCTAAAAAAAAAAAAAAAGTCAAAAACCCTTTTGCAAAATGTAAAATGATTAATTGTATAAATTGCCACCCTAGTTGTGTTTCTTAAGTATGATTTTTGTGTGTCTGGTTTCTTTGAAGAAGGAATCACCTGTAGTGGCATTAAAAAATTTAAATGTATAAAAGAAGTCCCAAAGGGAGGCATGAGATTCTGTCCTTGTGTTTAAATGGGTATTTGCTTTCATGAGCCTTAGCATAATTGCCCCACAGATCACAAGGATATGCAGCTGGAATAAAAAACTCATTGATGATGAGAGGAAAATCACAATCCATGCTCGGTCTCCTTTAGAGACAGAGACAATTTTAGGAGTATATAAATGAATGGGCTCCATAGGCAATAATAATGAACATGGAGAACTGAGCTGGTGGGGACGGTGGGCAGTGGCAGGGAATATGGGAATTGGGGAAACCTTCAACAGTTCACACTGTGCTATCTGCCTTCCTCATTTCTTTGTTTTCTGAGTCAGCATTAGCTAAATTTTCCAGAAAGCCATCCACAAAGTACAGCCTGGCCATTCAAGAGACATCACTCATTTCCCCCAGTGACCTTCACAAGTCAGAAGCTTGAAAGCAGGGAAATCCGGATGTCTCAGTTATGAAGTGAAACAGTGGGAGCCCCAACGTATTTCCAGAACTCTCCATCCAGACTGGTGATTGTATGCTTCTATCACTACCAGTGACTGTCTGAGGTTTTCTCTGGCTCTGAAGAGATTGGTACAATGGCCAACTGCTTCAGCCTGGTGTTGCTTTTTGTCTCCATCTGGACCACAAGGCTTCTGGTCCAAGGCTCTCTCCGGGTCGAAGGTAGGTTTCTTAGCAGAATGCCAACCTGAGGCAAGGCAAGCTCTTACAACCTGTCCTAAGCCTACTAAGTTCTTGACTGTGGATTGCTGGGAGCAGGGGTGACCCTCAATGTCAACAGAAGACCTAATTGGTAGTATTGGTCTGCCAGAAATATTTTCACAATATTGTCAATTTCATCAAAATGATTCACATTTACCTTTATGTTACCTTGACTTTTATTTTTGATTATGGACTACTTTTAATGAAAATATTTTAAAACAAAACATTGAGAAGAGATCATTTGTTTTTAAAAGTGTTTTATTAAAGAAGAAAATCATGATTGTGAAACTTTCTAAGCAATCACTAAGCCTGGGGAAAATGGCTAACTTTCACAGAATATTAGCCTGTTTTATATTTTTGGAAGTGCCAATATAATTATTTTAATTTTATTATACTATCATGGAATGCATATATTTTTAATATGCAGTAAATAGCAAATTAACTGAAAAATTTTTTGAGAAAATATAGGTTTAAAAATTAACCATCAGCTCTCTACCAAAAGAATAACTTGAAATGATTTCTGGGCTTCTGCGATGCCTAAATGGTAACCTCATTCTGCATTGTAGGCAAAAAATTGTAAGAACGAATCACTCATTACAGTTCTGGGCAAATGAAACTCTGAGTACTTTAAAAGGAAAATTGTGTATTCCTATATTGGAAGATGCTCTGAGATATAAAATATGTCAGGAAAAGACATCTACAGTTGATTCATATATTGCTGTATTAATTTTATAAGAGAGGTTAAAGTTATATGATTGATTTTTTTCAATTACTAGAATAAATTTGGTCCTCTTTGAAAACCCCCTGGGAGACTATTCACTTTTCCCCAAAGTATGGCCATTACTCAGGCTATTTTGGAAATTGTTCTTTGACAATGACTGTATTGCGTTCTTCAGACCATTCTCAATAATGGCAAAATTTTCCTAAGGAAATTAAATTTTGGGGAATAACCAAAAGTTATTCAGAACCACGACTGAGGAAAAGGTGGCTGAAGAAGGTGAGTAGATGAGGATAGGAGTGAATATTTTCAAGAGCCTATTATGTAGAGATACAGAGTTAAATATATAAAATGTATATTTACATATATATTTTTTATGTAAAATATATTAAAAAGAAATGACTTAAAATGATTTCCGGGCTTTTGAGATACCTAAAAAGTGACTCTATTCTGCATTGTAGGCAAAAAAATTATAACCACAAACCACTCATTACAGCTCTAGGAAAATGAAAATCTAAGCACTTTAAAATTTAAAAGGAAAATTGTATGTTCCTATGCTTGAGAATAGTATGGTAGAGAGCTGGTGGCTAAATGTCAAACCGATATTTTCACAAATTTTTTCTGTTAATTTGCTATTTACTGCATATTAAAAACACATGCATTCTGATAGTATGGTAAAATTGAAATTAAAATAATTATGTAGGAACTCCTTAAGAAGACATTTTATTCATGAAGAAACAGGCTCAGTGAGGCCAATGACTTGCGTAATGTTAACAGGCAGTAAATAATAATGGGTTTAAGGTCAACTCTGACTCCTAAGCATATACTATTTCTACCTTGCCTATTGTTTCCTGAGATATCTTAAGAAAGAGATTACTGGGGTACCCCTGAGATACCAGCTGCCTATTTTTGTCCTTAAATGAAATAGGAAAGCTTAAAATTGATGAATATTTGTTGACTATCTACTTTAGACCTAGCCTCGGCTAGGTACAAATTATCTCATTTAATTTTGACAAAAATTCTGTGAAGAAGATATAACCATCCCCATTTTACAGATGAGAACACTAACTTGCCGAAGATCCCATAGCCAATTAACAATAGAAGAAATAGTCAAAGCTAGATCTATTGCCCAAAATAGGTCTACCATTACTCATAATAATAATATTCAGAGTAAAAAGGAGGTATGATGAAAGAGTATAAAGACTAATTTATAGTACAATTAATAAATCTTTAAGTATTCCAAAAGAAATAACCATAAGAAGTTTGAGCAATAGCAAGCCCATGGGCTAAATGAGCCAAATTGCAGGACAAATGGTGTAGTCCAAGAGTTCAGCTCTAGTTTTGTGTGTACGTGTGTGTGCATGTGTGTATGCACATGTGTGTGCATGTTTGTGTGTGTGCGTGTGTTCATCTTTTCCCCATAGCACAGTGGGAAGAAGAACAGTGTCTTACTTGAGAACTGGGGTTTTAGAGTCAGTTGTAACTGGGTTTGTGTTCTCAATCTGCCATCTAGTTGCACTATATCCGTGGGCTTGGGAAAGTTACTTAATCTCTCTGAGCCTCAATTTTCTATTAGAAGAAATGGTGTTTCACACAGAATAGCACAGTAGATTATAGAAGTGGGAATAAATACTGGTTTTAGTATCAGTGTTGGTGTGGGTATTAGCGCACACAGTCATAAGAGATTTTTTTGTCAGAAACACTCTTATTGGGGTATTGGCTCTCTGATCTCTTTTTTGGCGAGAACAGGGTCTGGAAGCAAACAAGGCCATCCACAAATATTGTACATCATATGCATATCCCTTCCCACAGCCTCGTGCTCCAGAGCACAGCAAGGTTACATGGAAGACTTAAGAAATGCTCCTTCCATTTTTAAGAAGACACTTCCTTTAAATACCAAGCTAGAAAGTGGTTGAAGCATTTGACTGGGCATCCAATGCACAGATTTGTGTACAAGCAATTACTTGGGAGATTGAAATACCCTTTTATGGACTTTCGTGGATGAAGCTCAATAGGAATAATGTATCTGAATGCAATGCAACTCACAATTTCAGAACTCAGAGGGAAGGGATCGAAAGAACTCTCAGATTCATTTTAAGTAAAATATTATTCACATCTTAACTGTTCAACTGCCTCAGCTTCCCTAGGGAGACTAATTGTTAAAAGACTAAAACCAAAATGCTTTGAAGATAACACAATGGTAATATGTTATTTATGATTTATTGAGCACCTACTGTGTAGCAGGCACTATGCTAAGCATTTTTATTTGAATTAACTCATTTAACTCTCACTACCCTATACAATAGATATTGTTACTCTCTCAATTTTATAAATAAGGGAACTGAGGCTCAAAAAAATGAAGTAAGTAGCCTAAGTTCACAGAGCTTGCAAGCGATATAGGTAGGCTAGATTCAAATCCAGGTCTGAGTCTAAAACTTTACTTCTTTTATTTAGTTTATCTGCTATGCAAGGTTTACTGCCCAGCTCCTCCAGGAACTTCTGAGTAAGCCTGACCCCTAATGGTCAGAGAAGACCTAGGACTAAGAAAGCTCATATTATACCAAGTGCAACATTTTTCAGCCCATCTGAGAAACAGTGGTGTCCCCAACCCACATTGGTTTGGAGTACTGCTAACTATTCTATTAACCAGAGCCCTGAATTCTATCTTTCTCAAAGTCTCAGACCATTCATTTTGTAGACTCCAAAAAAGTTTGCAGCATCAACGAGACCCCATCACATGAACTGGTAGCTGAAGCCTCCACGTAGTGAACAAGGCACCTTAATGCAGTTTGATACAGTGGACTCAGATCTAATGAGAGGTACAGCTTTGGTCAAGCTAAGCACCCACCTAATCCAGCAGGATATCCTTGTAGGAATTACTTCTAAACTTATATCCCAGCCACAATGACCTCACTGGGGCATCAAGACAACAATGCTCTTCTAGGAAGAGGAGCCTAAGGGCTACGAACAAGGACAGCAGCAGAGTGAGGATCTCTCCATGTGATTCCTTTGCAGAGCTTTCCATCTCAGTGCAATGCAGAATTATGGGGGTCACCCTTGTGAGCAAAAAGACAACAGAGCAGCTGAATTTCATAGAAGCCACAGAGGCCTGTAGGTTGATGGGACTAACTTTGGCCAGCAAAGACCAGGTTGAAGCTGCATCGAGGTCTGGCTTTGAGACGTGCAGGTGAGAAACCGCTGCATTCATAAACATGGCTGGAGCTCTTTTCTTTCTGTGTCCTTGTCAGCCATAGAGATAAATGTATCCATTCAACTAATGTGTATTCTGTTACAGCTATGGATGGGTTGCAGATAAGTTCTTAGTCATCCCTAGGATTATTCCAAACCCCAAGTGTGGAAAGAACGGGATAGGCGTCCTGATATGGAGAAGTGGACTCAACCTAAAGTACAGGGCATATTGTCACAACTCATCTGGTAAGTCAGATCTTCGGTCTCTCCATTTGGTATGTTTTCTCTGGGTTTCTCTAGCAATATGAGATGTCTGGGAAGAGTGACCCTGAGCAGCAGCAGAAACAATCATAGTGGGGGTTATTTAATCCTCCTAAGACTGACTCTGTGACCAGGCTAGAGGTGGCAGTATGCCCCTCAGAGGAAAAAGTTATGGAAATATGGTTGAATGGCAACACAGGGAGAAGGCATCCCAGGAAGCTCCATTACCTCCCTGCTCCATCCTATAAGATAAACAGGAAGAAAGAAAGGAAACATCCACTATGTACAAAGCAATGTACTAAGTTATCTCATTGAACCTTGACAATCTCTCTGTGAGGTATGTTTTATCATTCCCATTTTGCAGAAAAAAAAAAACAACTTAGCTCAGAGAACATAAGTACAGTTGTCTAAGATCTCGTTACTCTAAAGAGTCAAACATAAGTCTAACTCTAAAACCATGCTCTTTCCACTATCCTATATTCTTTTACAGGAGAGGAAATTAAAATGCCACATTGACATTTTTTTAGAACAAGACCCAATCTCCAGTTTATGAAGGAAGGAATTGAAGCTAGAAGGTAGAACTAATTTGCTCATGATCACACAGTCATCTTTTTAACCTTGCTTGGAGACCTTGGCCATCTTAGCCAGGAGCTTTACCTTCTCAGAAAGGTTTTTTGTGGAGATTTTTTGTGTTTTGTTTTTTACTAAATACTTGTTTATAAGAACCTCTGTCTGATTTATTACTCTTCACACATATTTAAAAATCTTACCTTCTCAGGGTCAGATAGCTAAGCAATCATACACAAGGATAGATTCCAAAATCATTCTCTAAGATCCAAGAGCTGAATGTGCATCAACGGCATTATGCTTCCTAAAGGCAGCACAGTGTCAAAGCGGTTCTCTGAATCACAGAGTTTTTGGCATAGGAAAGGCCCTGAAAGACACGTTGTCCACTTCCCTCACTTCACGAATATAATTACTATAGCTCAGAATGGAGATTTTGTTTGCTGAAAGTCTTATAGTCAGGAGTTAGAGTCAAGACTGGAACATAAAGCTTCTTCCAACATTGTTTTCACCATCATCCATTCCTCTGCCACTTAAGACTATCATCGTTGGCTGGGGAATTGGTGATACACATGCCTGCTTATCACATAGTCAGCTAGCCCATGCCTGGCAAATGGCCTGGCCTTTCAATTGCCTGGCCTTCCTGCCAGCTGTCAATGTGATGATATGATAACCAGCCCTCTAGACACAACAAAATGGAGGCAGGGGAAAACGGCTTGGATTTGTGAGTTTCCCCAGTTTCATTTAACTTGTATTTCTAGCCTGTATACTTAATGTTAGGTCTAGAGGCTTAATTATATGTGTGTTTGATATTTTGGGGAAAAATAATTCATAGATCATATCATGTACTTTGGATCACATCCCAACAAAAGGAACTTAATGTCAGTATGTCCCACTATAAATGTGCTAATTTTGATCATTTGAGTAAGATAGTGACTGCAGACTTCTCTAATTAACTCAGAGAGATATGTTTTCCCCTTTGCAATGAGTAGGTCATCTATAGTGTGATATCTTGGCACCATGCAAGTATTCTGACGTGCAACTATCTTTTACCTAATAGTTTAAGCAGCCATGGATGATCCTTGCTGGAATCAATTTATACGGGGGTTCTTTCTTTTTTTTCAGCAAACCACAGACTAACTACACATTCTTTGGCCGTTTCCTGAGGATGAACTTGAGATTTTGTGGAAAGAGGAAAAAAAAAAAGAAAGAAAAGAGTAAGGGTGGGGGAAGAAGTGAGACAGAAAGCTACACACACACACACACACACACACACACACACACACACACACACACACACACACACACACCCTCCTCCCTCCCCCCCCTTATTCTGTCATGGACACATGGCATTTTACTTATTCTGAGTGTTTAATATGTTATAATCAATTTAGAATTTTTATTTTTTGATGCTCAATTGTCCCAAATTTGGCAAGTGGAAGCCCCTTCTACTTGACTTTTGTCTTTAATCCCATCAGGATTTGAGCAATTCTTTACTCTCTGGCATAATAATATGTCCCAGGCTCACTTCGTACCTGTTCTATCCCAGACATGTTATCAGCCATTTATTTCTCCAAGGATCCTTGATTCTTTTTAATGGTTCTTTTTAATGAGAAACTAAAATCTAGATGAAAGTTGTTCTCATTACTAATGGAATTTTCATTGCTTCTCTCTTTGTTTTAGTGGAAAGCTAGAAAAAATATATGTATATCTTAATATAAATATAAATATGTAGTTTATGTATAATATATATGAATACATATATTTCCTACCTGTATACTAAAAAGGATATCTATGTACACATACTGTTGGTTTGCAACCTGACGAGCTTCCCAGGTATAATCTGAAACTGGCCCCTGTATGCAGAGGGCAGAGAAAGACTAAAGAAAGAGGCAGACCACTCCAGATCGGTAGGTGGGAGGTTTAATAAACAAGGGAACTTACTTATGAGGCTTGTCTTAGGCAGCCTCAAGATCAGTTGATTTCTACATTTCCTGCCAGAATCTTAAAAGTTCATATAGAGGCCCTAACTGGGGTCAGTCACGTATACCATCTAGATGCTCTCAACAATGCTTACTATCTCAAGGCTACATCCTCGGGCACCTTCTAGCAATGGGAAGGAATTTAGAATGCAGTGAAGGGGTAAGGGTTCTCCAACTGCCCAGGTCCAGCTCAAAGGTCAACCGGTGGTCGTGTCCTCTTGATGATTTCCCCCAACACACACATATATATATATACAAGTATGCATACGTACATATATATTTTTAAGTTATGGGTTTCTATTTATATTTCTCATTCAAATTTAACAATTCAAGTTTTCTCCTAGTTTACTTCTTTTTATTTCTATCTCTCTTCTCTTATATGAAACATTTGAGTTCCCAATAAATAATATTAATATATTTTCTTATTCTATAATAGTTTCAAAATTACAAAACCAAAATTATTAGGATTAATAAACCTACTAAGTGGAATTTAAGATTTCTTTGCATTTTTTTTTTTACCTTAGAAGATATTCTTCTAAATGTACACTATCAGAGAATTGTGTACCAAAACGACTTGAAAAAATTCACTACTTGCATGGTTATATTGTTATTTTGAAATAAATTAGGTTCACCTGCTTCTGTTTGTCATCTTTGTGAGGGTCGGAGTTACCCTAATCCTCATCCTAATGTGAATCATAAATTTATCACGTTTGTTTTTGTAACTTCCTTTTTTATTATCATCTAGTGAGGTCTACAGATCATAGTAACTTTAACCCTGACCCTCAGCCTTATCCTAAGTTCTTTCTTATTGTTATCTTTGTGAGTTTTGGAGATCAGACCAAAGTTCTTTTAAAGCTCTACATAAACCATCTGCTCCATGCTGTTCCCTCTGCCACAGTGCCCATACTCTTCATCACCTGGCTAACTCCTACTCTTTATTCAAATCTCAAGTGCCATCTTCTCCAGGAAGCCTTCCTTTACTCTTTATTCCTACTTTTCCTCTTGGATTCCAGCCCCATTCTGTGTTTAATATCTATCAGAGCACTTGGCACATTCTAGAGAAATTATCTCTATAAATTGGTGGGCAAGGAGAGCCAGGTCCTAACACTTCCAGATGAGATGCATTGTGCCCGTGACCAGTAAGGGGTCATGAGATCAGACTGCTGTGGCTCCTCACACTATGGCTTTTTTGGCTACACTTAATGGACAGAGAGGCAAAGAAAACTAATTCTTGTAGATCTTATCTACTCTGCCCATACACTATGCTAGGCCCTACACATTTCCTATCTTATTAATCCTCAGTAAAAGGACACAAGTGTATCATTTCTACTTTCCAGAAGTAACTGATGCTTAGATGTACTGTGCTGTGGTCACAATCAATAAGGGGAAAATCCAGGATTTAAATCTTAAACCAAGTTACATTCATGTAGCACCCTCCATGGTGATTGACCACACATCAATAAAATAGGCTTGGGGTGGGTCCTGAGTATCAGTATTTTTTTAAAGATCGCCAGATGAGTCTAAACCACAGCCAGGGTTGAGAATCACTTTTCCCTAGAAGATCTCTAAGATCTAAACTCTAAGATTCCAGACACTTCTAGATTCCCCTATTTCTATGCAATTACAATAATCTTCTTTACTACTAGATTGTATCCTCTCCTCTCTGCATTTCATCCTCCACATACCTCCATTAATTATTATGTTACTCCTCTGTCCCACAACCTTAGGTAACTTCCTATTTGAGAATATGATGTAAACAATGAAGCTTTTTGCATTTAAGTGGGTATATATGAGAACTTTGGTATATTAGTAGGGATGGTTGTGAAGCCCAGTCAAAAATTCCTTCTCCTACAGACTAAATTCCAATTGTTTTAACATGGCTATTTTGAATCTCGATATTCTGGCTACAAACTATCTTCCCAGTCTCATCTCCTGCTTGCAGTCTTTCATGCTCCCAATCATACACACATCCTATTCTCTATGCTCCTTCTCATTTTTCTACTATAACTTCTGCATTTTGGGATCATGCTATTCCTATTAACTGGAATATCCTATTCTTTCTTCCATACTAGATGAGTTGCTCCTCCGTTCCAGTCATACTGGCTTTTGTTCCCCCATCAAACATGCTGAATTCATTCAACTTCAGGCTCTTGGACTTCCTGTTCTCTTTATTTGCAATGCTTTTGCCAAAGATCTCTAACGACTGGCTACTTTTCATCATGCAGGTCTTAGCTTAAGTATCACCTCCCCAAAGAGAATTTCTCTTATCACCCTATCCAAAGTATCTGTCCCCATCCCCTACTCCTTCCAGTTTAATCTTTATCCTATTCAATTTTCTTCTCAACAGTTTCCATACTCTGACATTTCTGGCTTTTTAAAATTATTATTATCTCTATCCTTTCAATAGCATATAAGCCCCTTATTAGCAGGGACTTTTCTTATTTGCACCAAGTCCCTAGCACCTAGAACAGTGCCTCCACAGAGTTGGAGCTCAATAAACATTTGTCAAATGAACACATTAATCCTCATACCCTGTCCAAATGCCATATCCTCTATAAATCCCCAGTGATCTCCCCCATCCTTATTAAAATATTTCTGTCCTCCCCAAAACAGGAACCATCCCTTATTTGTCTCTATATTTTCAGTTCCCAACATAGTATCCCATGCTCAGTATTTTTTCCCCGATATTAAAAAATGTTCATTTTATTAGGGAAAAACCCCGCATATGTTCGAAAAACAAGAAATGTTGCTGAAAGTTCAGGGTAGAGAAAGTCAAGGATGATGTATTTTGAATAGAGATCTTTTCAAAGTGATATAAATAGAATAAAATTATGACTGAATGCACAACAAATCAACCTGAGGGTCAACCCGTCCCACTGATGTGCAAACAGCAACCAAGGCTCAACTACAACAGGAAGGCACACACAACCCTTACTGGGAACACACCTGGAGCACCTGGCTTAGGTGACCAGGGAAGACTGTGCCATTGAACCCCACAGGACGCCTACTATGTAAGGCTACTCTACTAAGACCAGGAGACATAGCAGCCCTACCTAATACATAGAAACAAACACAGGGAGGTAGCCAAAATAGAGAGATAAAGAAACAAAAAGACAAAGAAGAACCCAGTAATTAAAGAACAGAACAAAACTCCAGAAACAGAATTAAACAAAATGGAGACGAGCAATCTACTGGATGCAAAGTTCAAGACACTGGTTTATATGGATACACAATGAACTTAGGAGAAGAGTAGATGAACTCAGTGAGAACTTTAACAAAGAGATTAAAAAAAAAAAACATAAAAATAGAGATAGAAAACATAAAAAAAGAACCAGTGAGAAATGAAGAATACAATAACTGAAATGAAGACTACATTAGAGGAAATCAACCAGAGATTAGATGAAGTAGAAGACTGAATCAGTGATTTAGAAGATAGGGTAGCAGGAAACACCCAATCAGAACAGCAACAAGAAAAAAGAATCTGAAAAAATGAAGATAGTTCAAGGGCCTTTGGAACAACACCAAGCGTACCAATATTCACATCACAGGGGTACCAGAAGACGAAGAGAGAGAGCAAGGAATGAAATATTCAGAGTGATGAAAAGCAAGGACCTACAACCAAGATTACTCTACCCAGCAAAGCTATCATTTAGAATCGAAGGACAAAGATCTTCCCAGAGAATAAAAAGCTACAGGAGTTCATCAACGCCAAACCAGTATTACAAGAAATGTTAGAGGGACTCTTGAAAAAGAAGAGAAAAGAAGGAGGAGGAGAAGAAGAAAAAGATTAAAAATATAAATAATAAAAGGCTATAACTACATATCTATCAACAATTATTTTAAGTGTAAATGAATTAAATGCTTCAATCAAAAGATAGGATGGCTAAATGGATAAAAAAAAAAACCCAAAACCCTCACATGTGCTGCCTACTCACTTCAGATTGAAAGACACATGCAGACTGAAAGAGATGGAAAAAGATATTTCATGAAAATGAAAATTAAGAAAAGAAAAAAGCTAGTAGTAACAATTATACCAGACAAAATAGACTTTAAAACAAAGGCTACAACAAGAGGTAAAGAAGGACCCGGTAATCCCATGTCTGGGTATTTATCTGAACTAACTCAAAACACTGTTTTGAAGGGACATGTGAATCCATATGTTCATTGCAGCATTATTTACAACAGCCAAGATATGAAGGCACCCTGGGTGTCCATTAACAGATGAATGGATAAAGAAGTGGTACATATATACAATGGAATATTACAATCAGCCACAAAAAAGAATGAGATCTTGCCATCTGCAACAACATGTATGGTCCTAGAGGATCTTGTTCTGAGTGGAGTAAGTCAGACAGAGAAAGATAATAATCATTTTGAGGGTTGCCATATGGGAAGGGGTTATGGATTGGGCAAAAAAGGGGATGGGATTAAGAAGTACAAATTGATAGTTACAAAATAGTCCTGGGGATGTAAAGTATAGCATAAAGAATATTACATAGCATAAGTCAATAATATTGTAATCACTATGTATCATGTCAGATGGGTAGTAAATTTATCAGGGTGATCACTTCGTAAGTTATATAAATATCTAACCCACCATGTTGTACACCTGAAACTAACATAATATTATATGCCAATTGTAGTCAAAAAATAAAAAAAAACTATTTAAAAAATTTTTAATTAAAAAAAATAGAAAATTGAAGGAATTTCTATATGGCAGGAGGAATGAGAGAAAGACTGATCAAATGAGGCTGGCCGCGTCAGCAGGGGCCCAGACACGGAGGGCTTTATAGACCATACAGTAGAGGCAGTCGCTGAAGGATCCTACGGAAGGAAGTTATATGATTAGATTTATATTTTTGTAAGACTATTCCAGCTGCAGTATAAGGGGATTGGAGGGGAGTAAGACTAGGGGCAGGAAGACCAGTTAGGAGGCTGTTGCAATACTTACTTCTTATTTCATTTTTCCCTCCCCAACAGATACTTGGATTAACTCATGCTTTCCAGAAAGTATCACCATCGAAGATCCTATATTCAACAGTGAAACTGTAACATACACAACAGAAATGGTTGTCAGCAACAGTATACACTCAGCACCATCTCCTGACATAACTTACTCTCTTACACCTACTCCTGCTCTGGCTTCCACTTCTAGTCCACGAAAAAGAAAATTAATTTGCAAAACAGAAACTTTTACGGAAATTACCACCACATCTACAGAAACTGAACCACATATTAAATATAAAACAGCATTCAAGAATGAATATGTTGGGTTTGGAGGTAAAGCCTTCTGTGTCTGCATTGTATGTGTGTGTGTGTGTGTGTGTGTGTGTGTTTATATATAACAGACAATACATAGAAACTAGGCTGTCTCCAGAATGGGCATTCAAGACCCACCAAATACAGATAAAAGCTTAATGCAAACTCAACTTTCATAAAGTCATAGAACCTGAGGGCTCTTAAAAACTTTAATGACTAAACTAAAAATCATGAGCACAAGATAGTTTCACTTTTAAAGCTCAAAGACTTTTAAAAATAAATTACTATCTATTAATATGTAAAAGTTCTTTTTAAAATATATACCTTAAATACCTATGACTAGAAAGTTTGTTTTCTTAGTTAAAAGTTAAGGATCTTACACTTAATTAACTCCAAACTTGAGAAAATGGACTCTCTCTGTCCTATTGCAACGTATAGAATAGAGAGAGTATGAAAGGCAAGGCCAAGGACTCTACAGGCAAGAGCAAAGAAGCAGACGTGGGCCTAACATCCTAAAGGGCCCCTCCCTGTGTGGTCAGGGAGAGGGCTTTTCTCCTTCACTGTCTTTTGTTTCTATCATGTGTAAAGATGAATTGCTAGAAGAACAGTGCACAGCGCCGTACACGTGAAGGACCCACAGGCCATGTCTCTGTTCCTCCAGGTGTTCCCACGGCTCTGCTCGTGCTTGCACTCCTCTTCTTTGCTGCTGCGGCCGGTCTTGCAGTTTGCTACATCAAAAGGTGGGGTTGTTGGCGCATTGTTAATCTTGTCATCTCTGTGACGCCCCTATCTTGTGTTTTTCCAGGGTTGTTATTAGCATTTTCCTGGTCAAAGTGGTGACAGCAGTTACCTTATACTGTAAATTTTCTCCCTCATCTCACCTCTCCTCCCTACCACCCAGTCTTCCCTACTATTTCAGCACATGCATGTCATCCGGCCTTTAGATATAGGTTATTGGCTGTCCCTTTGAAAATCAAGAAATTAAAAAAAAAAAAAAAGATCGACATCTAGAGGAAAATGTATACGCTTTATTTGATTTTTAATTCTTTGGTTTTGGTGGGAGGATTGTGAGGTCAGCCTAGAGTGTGGCCTGTGAGCTAACTATCTCATTTAACGAATCCGTTAGGGTGCAGATGTGTTAATGTATCCGAATATGCATGTGTTAGCAACTCTCTGAGATAAAGATATCCAGTCGCTGTGCCAATATGGCCATCACAGACAAAGTATTATGTACTGTCATATGCGTTACATGGAGGTCTCTCACTTTAATTCTATGTTTATGCCTACAGGTATGTGAAGACCTTCCCTTTTACAAATGAGAATCAGCAAAAGGAAATGATTGAAACCAAAGTAGTAAAGGAGGAGAAGGCCGATGATGGCAACCCTAATGAGGAACCAAGGAAAACTGATAAAAAGCCAGAAGAGCCTATGAGTCCACCCAAAACTACAGTGCGATGCATGGAAGCTGAAGTTTAGAAGAGAAACAAAACAACACACCCAAGGCTGATTTATTTCCTGATACATATCCTGGTCCTAGATGAGAAAACTAAAAGGGCCAAAGAACCAAACAACAAAGGCCAGCCTTGCTTCCTAACTGGAATCAGCTCAGGGCCACCTTTGGACTGTGTAACCAAAGGAAATTCTCTTCTTACTGCAATCCTTTCTGGATCCTACCCTCCTACCTCTAAAGCTTCCCACAGGCTTTCTAGCCTGGTTTTGTCCTAATAATAGTGGGAGAAAGGAACTTTGCAAAGCACAAGGACCTAAAACAGCTTATCAGAACACATTTATAAAGAGGCCTCTAAGCTAGCTGAGGATAGGTGAGTTGAGAGCCAAGAAACCACTGAGACCAGAGCTTTCTCTATTGACTCCACAACCCAGATCCCTTCTTCAGCTCTGAAAAGGAAACATTTATACCACCTGGCATGTCCTTCTGAGCCAGGCAAGAGCAAAAGAAGGAAGGAAAAGTTTGGTGACTGAAGGCCATAGAGATTCCTGTGACTTGAGACCTGATCTCCGTAAAGCCAAAATAGAGATAAAGAATGAGGCCAAGGATATTGACAGCATATTGTCAGCAGGGACTATAAATACAGACAGGGTCAAAGTATTTATCTCTGAATAATTCGAAGTGGAATCATTTTTTAGAACACACCCCCACTTCCTTTTTTCTCTCTGCTGCTGCTATTTTTTCCAGAAGAATATACTTTTACAAGAAACCAAAAACAAAAACAAAAAAACAAAAAAAACACCCCACAAAAAACCTCTTACAAATTTCTGTTTTTAATCTGAGTTACAGAAATTATTACTGAGGAAAATAATCGTGTTAAAAATCAAATCTAACAAACATTTGCTGAGTGTGTACTATATGTCAGGCAACATGCTAGGTATTACATTCTGTAATTGAATATCATTAGTCAATAGATTGGATATAGTATAATGTTGTTTGAAACTAATATTTTTCAGTTTCGATATCCCTAGCTTATCCACTTCCAAAAATATTTTTTATTTTTTGCTGAGACTAATCTATTATTTTCTCTAATATGGCAACCATTATAGCCTTAATTTATTATTAACATACATAAAAAATACATTATTAACTTTATACATCAAAGCACATTTTTAATGTCATTAACAAATGTATCGCTAGCTATTTTTTTCCAGCAAGAGCCTACCACATGCAGAAATATTTGTAAATATTCATGCTGAAAAAATAAAAGCATTTAGAAAAAACTTTTTTGCTATTTTGCTCTCTTATTTACATAGATTACATAGATATATTACACCTTTCATACAAAATTAAAGTAATCCATTGTTTGCAAAACCAAGAGAGCCAACTTTGGTAGTTGAAATACAAACAAGTGTAAAACCAGTAGTATATACATATCATGTGGGGCTGTTCTTGCTTCATATTGATGCAGGACAGCGCAAATTTCCCCACGTGACGAGAAAAGAAGAGGGTCCCTTGGCGGAAAGTGTAAAAGAATTCAACACACATGCCAAAGTTGGCGTCAAAAGGAAAGTTTATTAGGAAAGGGATAACACTCCACAGACAGAGTGTGGTCTCCTCTCAGAGACACAGAGTGAGAGAGATCAAGAGAGATGTGGAAAAACAGAGTAGGGGGGCGAATGTTCAGGGAATTCACTTTATATATCGTTATTTAGTTCCTGTGAGTTATTGTTTAAAAGACTTCGTTAACCCATTTCCTTTCATATGGACATACAGTGAGGAAGGAGAAGAATATGTAGTCTGAAAAGGTAAGAATATGTAGAGTGAAAGGCCACTGGCAGTTCCCAGCCTTTAATTCATAGGTTCCCTATGATTTTAGTCATAGGGAATGACTCTTGGTTCCTGTTTCCCCTTCACAGGTGTGAGGAAAGGGTTATTAGTAATCTCAGCAGAAACTTTCCTTTGTTCTGAAGGTCTCTTCCTGGCCTGGTTGCAGAGCTGATCAGCATATTCCAATCTCTGAATGTAGCTTGATTAAATTTTTAATTTTCTTGCCTCTTCTCTACATTAATATGGTCTTATTTTAAGTTGGTCACACACACACACACACACACACACACACACACACACACAACGGTCCTTTCCTTGAGATTCAGGTCCTGACCATCCCAATCTGTTTCAAAGTTCCCAGGTAGCAGGAGATTCAGGATAGCTCATTTGACCTGTTTCTCCAGCTTTTGTCTCCCCCTCTCTAGTCTTCCCTCCTTAGACTGCTAATATCTTGTCCTCACAAGTGACCCCACAGCACCTTGATCCTTTCATCTCAGAGGCCATAACTGACTGGCATAGTCTTTTTTGGTTGGCCCACAGAGTATTTATCTTAAAATTTGGTTTAATTGCTAAGAACTAAAAATCAAGAGATTTCACACATTTATATTTTGGGATTCCCTTGAAAAATTGGAGTATCTGAAGATAGAGAATCCATATTCCCTCGTAGCAATAATTATCTGATACTGAGTAGTGGCTGTCCTCTTTAAAAGGCTATTCCCACTCCACTTAACCAGAGTCCTCATTTGCAGTCCTCTATAACACCCTCGTGCCAAAATAAAGGTGCCATTTTCTATGGATCTTGTAACACTGTCGTCTCCCTGCACCCAGCCCATTTTGTTCATTTGCAACCTGCCTGACCCTGAAGTCTATGAGTTTGAAATTATAGTTTGTCAGCCCTTAAGCTTTATTGGCTTCATCTAGTTCTCAGGGAATGAAGAAGAAAAAATAATGGAAAAGTCTAAGTAGTGGCCTTCCTCCTGTGTGTGCTGAAAAAATAATCAGATCTCCCACTCTAGATACATCTGTGGGTATCTACTCTGTGTTAGGATACTAGCATCCTCTGTTAATTTAGACAGGTACATGTCCTACCCAGGAAGAGAAAGAGGGAAGGAGAAAACCCCACCCAACCACATAATCAGTAGATAGCCCAAATGTCATTTGCAAACACAATGATAAAATACGTGACTCCCAACATTATGGAAGGAAGGAAGGGAGGGAGGGAGGGAGAGAAAGCTTACATTTTTTGAGTACCTGCTAAGTGACAAGTCATTTTCACATGTTGTTCCATTTAACTGCCATGTCTTCCCTGAGAAGAATTATTACAATCATTTTTTATTAATATAAAATTAAATGTTTAGAGGAGTTAAATTGCTTTTCTGAGGTCACATATCTAGTTAAGTGGCAAAGGTAGGATTCAATCCCTGGTTAGAATGACTGCAGAACCCATACTCCTTTCCCTATACTGCCATGCTCTCTTTCCAATGACAATATAGGGATATAAATTATTCCAACATGTGAGCCTGAAATCAGTCACTTCCCAAAAACAACAGTGGAGAAATAAAAAAAATAAAAAAAAAAAAAAACACAGATTCCTGCCCCAGCTTCAGGGAATCTTTCTTAAATCTTTCTTAAAAAGTGAAACATTGAAGAACTTTGAGAACTACCCCTCACTGATGCAGACATCAACCTTAACAAAGATGTACCTGGTCCAGCTCAGGTGGTCAGAAAATGTAAGCTCCTCTAAATTCTTTTTTTCAGAGTAAAAAAATTAAGACCAATGTCACAGATGGCTACAAGTAGAGCCTGGTCTAGAATTCTCCTTCTTTCTAGTCAAATTTTCTTTATTCTCCACTGAACAAAGAAAAATTGGATGAACATAAGAGAACATCCCAGTTTGGACCTACAATCCAGCCTACCAAAGCCACTCTTTAAACGAGGCAGATAGACAGCTATATGATTATATTCTCAAGTAGTGTAAAGGATCTCCCTCCCCAGAAATGCCTCTTCTTCTTGCTTCCTAGGCTCAAACATCTATTTCTTTGGGCAAAGGTATTCTGTCCTGAGAAGGAGTTCCCTCCAAAATTGCAGACTTTTTAAAAAGACCAGGCCAACTGTCAAATATTAATGTGTCAAGATGGTTCCACTAAAGACAAGCTGATTTCTAAGGGTAGAAAGTTGGAATAAAGCAGATGACTTGAGAAGGCCCAGTGCATACTTGCATATAGTGGGAGTTTATAAATGTCCATTGGTTTGAAAAATATTGAATTATACTGATTTCCAGACCAAAGAATCCTACATTTTATTGCCCTTCTCTAGACCTTCAGCTAGTGTCCAAAGCAAAACTAATTGCTATAGGGAAGAACATGTTTCTAAGGGCAATAATAATAATGTGCAATAAATTCTTACTCAGAAATGAGAGTTACTCACACCAAGAAAGAAAGAAAGATTTAAGTTCCCAAACAAGAAGAAAAGCAATTATTGGTCAATTCGCTCTTCTAGTTAAATGTAAATAAAATTTAGTTGTTTAACTCATAATAAATCTATATGTGTCTAAATGTGAGGTCGTATAGAGCATTTTAATAATACTAAAGTCAGCTGGGAGCACTCTCCTCTATGTTTATTCCCCAGGAAATGCCAAAGTTCTAAACAGTGCTTATTTGATTTAGGATGTCTTTTTTTAGTATGTAGAAGGCCATTAATTTTTTAAAAAATAAACTTATTTTATGATAGTTTTAAACTCACAAAAAGTAATACAGAGTTCCCACACCCAGTTTCCCCTATTATTTACCTCTTACAGTATTATGGTACGTTTGTCTCAATTAATGAACCAGTATTGATACATTATTATTAACTTAAATCCATACCTTATTCTGATTTCTTTACTTTTTATTTAACTTTTTCTGTTCCAGAATCCATCCAAGATACCATATTAAATTTACTCATCATGTCTCCTTAGGCTCCTTTTGGCTGTGATTTTTTTGTTCTTGATAATCTTGTCAGTTCTGAGAAGAACTGGTCAGGTATTGTGCAGAATGTCCCTCAATTGGGATCTCTCTGATGTTTTCTCATGATTACACTGGAGGGAAAAAGGAGGACCATTGAGAGAAAGTACCATTTTCATCAGAGCATATCAAGGGTACATACTATAGATATGACCTATCACTATTGATATTCACCTTGACCACCTGGATGAGGTAGT